GGAATCGTTACTTTAGTCAACGACACACAACCATTGAATGCTGAATTTCCAATCGATACGACTGAATCAGGAATAACGATTTCTGACAACGAAGTGCATCCATTGAATGTCTGATCTTTAATTGAAGTGATGCCATCTGGAATTGTTATTTGCGACAACGATGAACAATTGTCAAATGCATGGTCTTCAATTGACGTCACCGATGAAGGGATCATAATTTGTGCCAATGATGTGCATTCTTGAAAAGTGCCTGAATTAATTATCTGTATCGTTGGCGGAATCATTATTTGAGTCAGCGATTTGCACCCATAAAATGCAAGCTCGCCTATGAAATTCGTTGAATTGGGAATTTTTATTCGTGTCAATGATGAACATTCATAAAATGCGCCGTTGCCAATGAATGTTACTGACTGCGGAATTGTGATACTCGTCAAACTATGACATCCATCAAAAGAGCCACAGCCAATGCTTCCAACTGATGAAGCAATTGAAATTTTCTTAAGTTGGCTACAATCTTTGAATGCAAAGTTTTCAATCAATGAAATTGATGATGGAATTGAGACTTCCTTCAAATTGGCGCATTTTTCAAAAGCCTTTTGTTGAACTTTCATTTCACCATCAGACAACAGAATACTTAAAAGTTCCATATTATTATTATCAGCAGCAATACGTAAAACTCTTTTATTAATAAAATAAAAAAATTTGGAATTTCATTAACAAATTATTTTTTTTTTTTTTTTTTAAATTTCATTCAAAAAAATTGTGATTTGAAATGCTATTAGAAAACAAAATTTGATTTTGAACTTTGTTTAAAAACAATTGATTGATTTCAAATATCATTTACAAATGAATTGGTTTTAAAACATTGTTTGAAAGCATTTAAAATAAACGATCTCTTTATACATATTTTTTTTACCGTTTTCAAATGAAAGTTTAATAAGCTCTATGTAGTCATACTGACATGCGAAATAAATGCAATATTTATATTTTATATCAAATGATAAGAATTCATAATTATGAGTACGATAGACAAGATCAAGAAAATTTTTATTTCTTGACACATCATAGTCAATGTAACTATTTTTAATATAATTTGCGATGTCGTTGTGATGACACTTAATTGCCTCCATGAAGCATTCAAAGTAATTATTGCCTTTTGGCCTGATGTGATGTTCTTCAAGAAGATGAATTAATTCAGCATTTTTGCCATGAATTACATAAAGCCAAATTTTTTTCCTCATTTCGCAGCCAGAAAGCCTCAAGTATTGAAATATTTGAAAGGCTCCAAAGAACGCTGCATACTCAATCAAACTTGAATTCATGTTTTCAAGCAAAAAAGTATTCGTCTCAAAAATTGAATGGTTTATTTCGGCTGTCAAAATTGGAAGGTTTGTTTGATTTACATAAGCAACAAATTCTTCAACCGAATCATCACGAATCATTGAACAAATACGCGATTCGTTTTCTCCTAGTTGACAATTTTTGTCAAAATCATTGAAAATTTCTGGGTTTATATTCAATAGTTCCTTCTCAATTTTTTCCCGTTTTTCTGGTTCAATTGAAAATTGAATCTCATTATACAAAAAGTGGCTGTAGTTGATGAATTGATTCGGGTCTTTTTTGAATATTAAATTAATAACAGATTTGTTAATCGATATTATTTTGTTTTTCACTAGAAAAAGTAGAATTCGAGGGCTGTTTTGAAAAATTTTAAAAATTTCGGTGTTTTTAAACGTTCGCGTGATTGCTTCACCCATTTCAAGAAGAAATTTGGTAACTTTGGCTAGAAAATCAGGCTTCCGGCAATAATTCTCCGTTATTTGCGATATCACGCAAAGTAAATGTTTAAATTCTTGGCGATTTTCATACATGTTATCTAATTGAATTATATTGATTAAATTATAATACTCTTCTTTTTCATTATCACTGCTTTCAATAAAAATGAGAAATTGCTCGTATATAGCTTTCTTTTTGTCAAGATGCCTCTTAATTTCCATTATTTATGGAGTGCCAAGATTTTTAATAGAAATATTTTTCAATAAAACTTTTTGAATTAATTGAAACAAAATAATTCAAAAACACCAAATTTCACGTAATACACTCAACAACAAGAAGATGTCATTAAATATTATCAGTTATGCGCCAAAACAAGGTTTTTTACACGACATAGCGCAGTAAGTATCAACTGTTTTTTTACAATAAGAAAATTATTTTTTTATTATTTTTCATGAAAATAGAAAGCGATCCTAATGAAAAAAAGAGCAAAACTATTTTTTTTAGTAATACCCATTTTTATTCAGTTTTAAATTATTAGCCATTTTTTGAATATAAAAGCGTATATATGATAAAGAATTTGAATATAAAAATTTTATAACGATCATATAAAGTATTCAAATTATATTCAATTAGGGGTCTGAGTTTTTACTTTCAGTTTATAAAAAAAATTTAAAAATTAAAAGTTTATTAAAGCATTTTCATAATAAAGCTAGTTAAATGATTAAATCATAACTAGAAAATAGATCGAAATAATGATTTCAATCTTGATCGAGATGAAGATCTTGATTTTTTTTGATGAAAAGAGGAGGACGAGGATTAATAAGAGCATTTCTTCTTCTTGAAATCATATTGTTAATACCATTTTTGTTGATAATGGAAACTTTTGTTTTCAAATGATGAACCGCATTTCTTTTCATTGAACTGAATTCATTTAAAGAAGATTTATCTAATGATGAAACCTTTTGAGGGACCAAGATTTCAGCATTAGCATCACTTATCATATCTGCTTGCATTGGATTACCTAAAATTATAATGATATGATTAGAAAACGTTTTTCTTACAGATTATAAATGATTATTTTTTGAATGATAACGTTTTTTAATTTGAATTAAAATTTTAACAGATATAATTGAAAAAATAATGTGTAAAATTCATAATATTCAGAGAGAGATTTTAATTCAATAAATAAGATTTCAAAAAATAACCTGCCCATTGAAAAAATAATCAAAATTTCAAAGCTAAAAAAATAAAAATTTTAACACTTCATTTTAATACTTTAATGCAAGCAGAAAGAAGCACTGATTTTGCAGCAGAAGTCTTGGTTCCCCAAAAGGTTTCATCTTTAAACAAGTCTTCTTTGAATGATTTTCGTTCAATGAAAAGGAATGCTGTTCATCATTTGAAAACCAAAGTTTCCATTATCAACAAAAATGGTATCAACAATATGATTATCAAGCGAAGGAATGCTATTGCTAGTCCTCATCATTTACCATTTACTCATGATTTTTAAAAATATGAGAAGATGAAAGTTATTCGTTTTTTATTTCATTAACCTCTTTCAAAATAATTTTAATGCGTTTATTTCTATCTATTAAACATTAACTCGGTTTTATTTAATCATATATAGGGTGTCCAAAAAAATTTGAGCATCTACATCTGTATAAAAGATATAAAGATAATTTTTGATTTATTAATAACTTTTATTAATAAAATATATATAATATTAAAATTAAGCAAGAATCTTGTATATTAATTTGAATATGATTCATTTAACTTTGCATCTTTGAATATTGAATTTTTTGAGAAAACAATTAAATTTTTTTCATTAGGATTCATTTGATGGAGCAAATAAAACATATTTAAAAATGTAAACATATATGTTATATAAAACTAATGAGTAGATTAAATAAATGCATTTGTTTATTGATTTCTGAATAAAATTATTGGTATTGTATTCAAAAAAAATTTTTTGGAAGCTTGGCAAAATATTTGCAATCTTGTTAGCATGAATAATAAGTAACTGTAAATTTTTTTTATTAAATAATATTCTTCATATGACAAATAAATTATATATATAAAACTACGTCCTTTTATTTTGCCAAAATAGTAATAATTGGCAATTTTTTTAAATTTTGGCATTTTTGAACAAAATTGAATTTTGTTGACCTTCAAGAACAAATAAATAATTGCATGAAGATATGATCTTTATAATTTAAATTTCACATCTTACTGATTGTAAATTCGGAATAGTTTTATTTTAATATTAAAATTTGAGCTGGGAAAATTGCGAAAAAATCTGATTTCGTTTCACTTTTTGAGAGAAAAATAGCAGACATTAAAAAGTGAATAAAATCAAATTTTCACAATCCAATATTCTACCCAAACAAAGCATATGACTTTTTTTAATTCTTAATTGTGCAACAAATAATTCCCTTTTTTTGAAAATTGATTATCTTTATGTCTCGTTGATTAATAGATCGATCATCAATTTACGAGTGATTCAATTCAGAAAAATATATAATGAACTTTTCTTAACCTTTTAATCATCAAGTGGGCTTGATAACTTATTTATAAAGAAATAATATAATATAGTTAATTCCATTAATTATTTTAATATATATTGTTCAGCTCCATGGATATTCTAAACATAAATATATCAAAAATACTTAAGTCACAAAAAAAAAAATATAATAAATACGTTTATAATTTCTATACGTTTATGTTTTTACCATAAATTGCAGTTCGTAATTATTGACACATTTAATATCTGGGATATTTTTTAATAGCACAATAAAAACAACATTTGAACTTTATTTTAAAAAGAAAAAAAATAATTTTCATTTATCACAAATCGAGATGCTCAAATTTTTTTGGACACCCTATACTTTATTTTTTAAAAAATATTTTTTTTTTTTTAATCATATTGATATTTTTTGCAGATACCTTGATAGATAATTTTTGATATTGGTTAAATAACCCAGCAAATCATTTTTTCTCTTAACTTTTAAATTTTTATTTGTTGAAAATATTTGGATATTGATTTTATGAAATTTTTTAAAAAAGAAGCAAATGTGAGCATAAATCCACAATTAAAGTATAACGAGTTAATCAGCTCTTTCAAAATCTTTTGTTTAATAAGAATCTGTTAAATTTTATTTAATATGAATTTTCGTTTGTGAATCATATAAAATACAAAACTATTTTTATATAATAATAAATATGAAACCGACGTAGTCTAAAGGTTAAAACGGAGGGCCTTCATCCCTAGGTTCGGGGTTCGATTCCCCGGGTCGGTATTTTTTTGATTTATTTTTAAAACTTTGCTAAAAAAGATATTCTGTTTACTCGAATTTTGATTCAAATTTATAAGAAAGTACACTATTAAAGATGAATTTTTATCAACCATTCAAAATAAATCAATAGAAATTTTTCATCAACAAGAAAAGCTGATTGCTATATTCAAAGGTATTACATTCGTGTAATTGAATTTGGAAGGAAGAATTTTGAAGTAAAGTTTTTTGAGATCCTGATAATAAATATTTTACTCTTCATACTATTCTCAATATTAGAAACGACTTATTATTAATAACTGGATTGAAAAAATTGCCCATATCCACACGTGGCACTTTTAAAGTTTATGACGAAGGCATTCCATGCACACTCTATTTTAAGAATGGCGAAACTGCTATGAAAATTAAATAAATCTAATTAAATATTTTTTTTATATAATTTTGATAAGAGTACTTGGTTTGCATTTAAGTAATGACACTTCTGACCTTAATAAAACAGGAATTGTAATGCTTTTCACGGATTTTGGAATTGTGATCTCCTTCAGACAGGAACAGCCACAAAAAGCTCTCTTTCCAATTGATTCGACACTGCCTGGAAGGTCAACTTTAGTGAGCGATGAGCAAAACGCCTCATCTCCAATTTCAATGCTATTTGATGATATCACAATTTCAACCAAAGAACAGCAGCGATCAAATGCATTGCTTCCAATGGACACAACTGAGTCAGGAATGACAACTTTCAGCAACGAAGAGCAATCCTTGAAGGCGCAGGAACCAATTTTTGTCAAATTTGGCTGAATTGTCAAAATGTGCAATAATGAACATCCTTCAAACGAATGATCGTCAATGGAATCAACAGAGGAAGGAATGTGGATTTCAGTTAAGCAAGGACATCCGTGAAATGCGTAATTCTTGACGGTTTTAACTGAATTTGGAATGTAAACTTTTTCAATAGAGGAACATCCGCTGAAAGATTCATCTTCAATCGATTCAACGGATTCATCAATGTGTACATAACTTATATCTTTGTTGTATTTGAATTTGGAGTCAGTTTGGCCGAAAATTGATATGGATAATTTGATTTTTTAAAGATTTTTTATGTATCATAGCAATGATCAAAATCTGGTGATGGGTATCGGAGATTAAGTACAACTTTTCGGAATTTTGACACATGATTTTTGAAATCAGATGAATTCAAAATATTGCTTTTATATAAAGCTTGAATTAATGAAGAATTCACTGATATACCATCATTATCAGCAACTTGAGTAATCTTTGGTTCATGTTCAGACATAATTTGGAAGCTCTGAATTTCATCTTTATTAGCATATGCTATTATGAAACTTAGAAAGTTATTAATATCAATAAACATTTGGGATTTTGCGGTTGAAACCATTTTATTTATAATTATATGTTGTGCTTTTATTGATAAATTATTAAAATCTTTTATTGACTTGATTTCGAGTGTTTCATTGACCTGATCTGCACCGTTTATTTCATCTTTATCTTCCTCCTCCTCAATGATTATTTCTCCATTGTTCGTCATTTACAATTTTAAACGGTCATCAGTACAGTAGGCTCCGTTAGTTTTAGGAAAAGAAGAATTTTTGAACCCAGAAAAATCTGTCAATGTTTTGGGTTTTAAGAATTTTGAGTGATTGTTACTAAGATTTTTTCCCTTTCTTTGATTTGGCAAGAGATTGCACTGTGTCTTTCGGTAATGATGAACAACCACTAAAAGCAGAATGGTGAATGTTGCACGATTCAGAAGGAATTCTTATTTCGTTCAAAGACTTGCATCCTCTAAATGCGTTAGAGCCAATTAAAACGACTGCTGAATCGTCATTGAAAATCAGCTGAGTCAATGAGGAGCATTCATTGAATGCTGACTTAAATATTTCAACTTTGGAAGAAAGGATTGTCACTTTTGACAAAGACGTGCATTTGAAAAATGACTGATTGCCAATTCTCATTATTGAGGAAGGAAAAGTGATTTCTGACAATGATGGACACTCGCCAAAGCACAATGGCCCTATTTCTTTCATTTGCAACGGAATGGAAACATGAACTAAAGAAGCGTTTTGATAAAAGGCATGACTTTCGATGATCGCACGTGAAGTTGGAGGATTTGTTGCTATTTCATTGTTATCTGGAGATGTAAATGAGACTTCTTTGAGCGACTTGCATTCATTAAACGCATAATTGCCAATGAATGTCAATGTGGGTGGAATGTAGACTGTCGTTAGAGATGGACATTTTCTGAACGCGCTTTTTCCAATTGATGTCACAGATGATGGAATCGATATCGTTTGAAGCTGGGCACAATCATAAAAGGCATATTCGCCAATCGATGTAACAGAGGAAGGAATGACGATTGTTTTTAATGATGAACATCGATAAAATGTATTGTAATCAATCGAAGCCAATGATGATGAAAGCGTTACATCATCGAGTTTAAAGCAATTGAAGAAACAATTGTCTTTAATCATTGTGACTGAAGATGGAATTATTAGCTTCTCTAAACTTGTGCAAAATCCAAAAGCACGCGCGCCGGTTGAGGCAACTGAAGGAGGAATTGTTACTTCAGTTAATGAATAACATCCAAAGAACAAACTCTCTTCAATTGTCGTCACTGATGATGGAATGTTAATCGACTTCAGCGATTTGCAGTCTTTAAATGCAAATGGTCCAATAAATGTCACTGATGGAGGAATTATGATGTCGGTTATGGATTTGCAATATTGAAAAGAGTAGCTCTCAATTTTGGTCACAGATTGTGGAATCGAAATCGTTGTAAGTGATAAACAACCATCAAATGTACTGGTTCCAATTGAAGTCATATTAGCTGGAAGTTCTACATGTGTCAAACTAGAACATTTACTAAATGAGTAGGGGCCAATTTCAATGTTTGGCAGTGTTAATAAAAAGTTAACAACATCGACACTATTTCCTTCCGAGGCAAAGCGTAATGCAGTATAACTAGAAAACATAATTTATTTTGAATTTCATCCTTATAAAAAAAAGATTTTATGTTATTTCATTAAAAATATTGAAGAAAAACGACATTAAAAACAAAAATTTTTTGAAATTTGATAAAAAAAATTTTTTGTTTAAAATTATTTTCTTGTTAATATCAATTTCTTTTATATTCAAAAGAAGCTTAACAAGAGAGAAATAATCATATTGGCATGCATAATAGAATAAAAATTCATTGTTTAAATCATCAGGTATGAATTCATAATTGTAAAAATGAAAACCAAAAGCGACAACATTTTTTGCAAAATCATTTATTTGATTTTTTTCAGTGATGAAGTTGTTTTGAATGTATCTTGCTATTTCATTATGATGACATTTAATCGACTCAAACAGACAAGTTTCATATGATTGATTTTCTGGCTCAACTTTATTTTCTTCAAGGAGATGAATCAATTCAGGATTATTTGAATGAATTGCATAAATCCACAAACTTTTTGTTAATCCAATCTTATTTAATCGAAGATAGTTAAATATTTGGATTGATCCATGAAATGCAGCATATTCAATTAAGGTTGGTTTATTTTCTTTCAAAAATTCATTTGTTTCAAAAATTGACTTTTTCACATGACTTGAAATGTCAAAATTTGTTTTGTTGACATAGGCAACGAATTCGTCAATCAAATCATTTATAATTAAGTAACAAATATATGAATCATTTTCACCTTTTCTTCTATTTTCTTCAAATTTGTTTAAGATGGTGGAATCCAATTCAAAAAGATCGCTTTCAATTTGGTCTCTTCTTTCGTCATCAACGAGACTTTTTATTTCTGGATAAAAAAAGTGACAATTCGTTTCTATTAAGAAATCTTTGATTTGATTGTCTACATTAATGATCTTCTTCTCAAAAAGGAAAAGAAGAAGTATTTGATTGCTTTTAAAAACATCAAAAATTTCTGAATTTGAAAAAGTCTGTTTGATATCTGATTCTAAAAAAGATATAATTTGTTCAATTTTTTTAAATAAATTGGGATGTCTATGATGGTTACTTGATATATGTACCAGTTGATAAAGGACCTCTTTTATGCTTTTTGGATCTTTTATTTTTTGATCATCTATATATGAGATAATTGATTGATATGCTCCTTCTTCTTCTTCTTCTTCTTTCCCAATAAAGTTGGCCAAAAGATTGTAAAATTCTTTTCTTTTATTAATGTATTCTTGAAAATTCATTTTATTTCAAGATGAAATAAAAAAATGGTGCATGCTCTTTGAAAACATGATCGTTTTCACTTAATTTTTTTTTCTTCATAAATATAATCACCAATTGATATATATATATATATATAGTTGAACCTGTTTTGTATTATCTCTTTTTTAAAAGTTCACAAAACTATGAGAAAATTGAAAATAGGCTTTCTGAGTTTTGAGGTTTATTATTCAGAAAAAATTTCAATCTTAATTGAAAATTTAAGATTATATAAATAAATATTTTTATTTCGTTATTCATAGAGAAGTATTTGAAAAAGAGTTAATTTATTAGTTAATATAAAATTGAATTGAGTCATTCAATTTTATATGTGGTTATTATTCAATAAATTTGAAATATTAAAATAGATTTTTTTGGCAACCTATTAGATATTCAAAGGAACTCCTTAAAATTTCTTTTGATTACATACAAAATCAAATTATAATCATGATGATTTCACTATATATCAAATACTTTTTATTCTTAATTCGTCATCTTGAGTTGGTCATTGAATGAATATATTCATATGAAATGTCAAGATAATTTATCGAATGCCGAACAAATTGAAATAAGCAAATTTATTCTTAATATTATATAAAGAATAGAAATGCTATAGTTTACATATCTTTTGGCTTGAAATAAACATACAATGCAGATTTAATCATATTGATAATGTAGTTTCAAGTATATTAGATGAAGGTAAATATCCATTTGATTAAATGGATTTAAATGTTTTAAATTATTAATAATTGTTATATTATATAATCATTTTGGGGAGATCCAA